GTTGGTCGCTCTGCCGTCGCCTCTCAGACCCCAAACGCTCTTCAGGTACGTATTTGGAGAATGTCGCATGAATTTCGCATAAATGTCGCGAGAGTACCACCAGTTCCTAAAAAAGGCAAAAAGAATCTACCTAGAAAGCTATCAACATCGGGCTCATGGAATACCTGGGACATTCAGGTACTATCAACGATAGGCAATATGGCTTCCATCATCAGAGATCCACTGGTGACCTGCTCGCTCACGTCTCACATATATGGCAGCAATCTATTGAAAAATATGGTAAAACCTCAGCCGTGGCACTTGATATCTTCAAGGCATTCGATCGAGTCTGGCACCACGGACTCCTCGCCAAGCTTCCATCTTATGGCTTGCCTCCCCAACTATGTTCTCTGCTAGCTAGTTTTCTCTCAAACAGGTCTCTCCATGTAGTGGTCGACAGAGCTTCATCTGACTCTCTTATTATAAATGCTGGTGTTCCGCATGGATCAATTCTAGCACCAACACTATTTATTATCCATATCAACGATTTGAGGAAGCAACTTCATGTCCAGTACACAGCTTCGCAGATGATAGTTCCCTTCATACCGCCTTCTCTTCCAGGGCTCCGATACCAGCCAGGCAAATCAGAAACGAAGGAGGGAGAAATGTTGACATCATAAATATGGACTTGGCAACAATTCTGGGAATGGGGATCCAATAACTTGGTAGATTTCAATGCAAACAAAACACAAGCATGCCTTTTCTCTAGAAAAGCCGATCTCACTGTGCCCAACATAAGCTTGTCAGGAGTAACCATACCTTTGAGGACATCCATTTCCATGCTTGGTATTACTATCAGCAATGACCTTGCTTGGGAAAATCACGTGAGCTCAATTGCTGAAAGTGCATCCCAAAAACTTGGTTTTCTGTTTCGGGCCAGGAGCTATTTGACTTCCAGTCAGCTGCTTATGATCTATAAGGCACAGATCCGACCTGTCCTGGAATACTGTTTCCATATTTGGAGTGTTTATAAAAATAATTGTAAGTTCATCTTCAATGTCATCATCCTGTGTCTCGTAAACACAGAGTCTTATGATCAATATTCGTAGGAGTTATTATTTTTCATATGAAATCTTCTATCGATTGTCAAAGTTCTGCTTCTATGCGGTAGATCACCCTGTGAATGTTTGAGATTTTATCTCTTCCTAAGAGAAATTGAATCTTTAGTTAGTGATAGAGCCACTGGATGGTATCAGTTAGATATCTACTAATACCATCCAGTGACTGTATTCTTACTTCTCAGAGACAAGAGTTGAGGGCAAAAAGTAAGTTACAGGGAGTCTTCATCATTTGACATAGAATTTACTATTCAATCTGAAGACCAGTCATTCATCGGATTTGTGATGCCACACTCACTAATTCCTCTACAGAACGGCAAAGCTTTCGAATTCTTTGCCAAAGGAAGTATTTCCAAGAAATTATAAATTCCAAAAGTACCGAAATTTTCTATCTCCATATCCTTTTTATGTACGCACGAGATTCCTTGAATTAATAAGGATTCCCTTCCTTGGAAACGAGTTCCGACCAACCCTTCACCCTGTACACTCTGATGAATCCATTAGGAGATGTTTTCCATCCAGTTGCCATGGCGATATATGTCAAGAGCATTAAACCTTTATACTCGGAGAAAACATTCATCATGCCTCATTTTATCTTATCTCGTGAGGCAAATGCATAATTTCATTATAACTGCACAGGAATTTGCCAGATCAATATTATGTTAGGCTGAGAAAATACATTTGTTTTTATTGGAACGATGACAATATAATTCTTGATGGGATATCGTGTTAGAAATATGTTTTGACATAAATAGTCATTTTTCTGCAACCGACACAAAAGTGGTCCATTTTAATACTAAAATTAGCTCTTGAATTGACGTTTCTATTACTGACACAAATATAGGTATGTGGCTAGGCAACATATTCAGTTCCTAGGAGCTGAAGTTGTACTTTAATTCCTAGGAGCTGAAGTTGAACTTTAGCTCCTCGGAACTAAAAAGGATGTACTAGACGTGATCAAGAATGATAGATGATTGTTTTATTAGGATCAAAAGTGACACTTTGTTTGACAAGCGAATTTTGCATTTGCGAGGCGGAGCGTTTAGCGAAGCCGAGCGAAAGCAAAATTTGCGAGTTGAACAGAGTCACTTTTGATCCGAATGAAACATGCTATTTTTTCTGCAACCGAAACAATTAACTCAAATAAACATGTGAGGTAACCACCAATGCCATGCCATATGTATGCAAATAATCCATGTGGTGAGAATATTCTACCTGCATTAACAGCAGGTTAGGTTTTCTAGGATGTTCGAATTGTAGTTTCAATATAAATACAACCACAGAGTGACATATCTGTGTAACTGTGTATGGACCGCAGGTGCTCGAAAGACAAATACCGCGCCAGTGCCAGCTATAGGAACAAGAAGTGGAAAGTGTTAGGTTAGTGAGCATATCAACAATGATAATAGTGATTATTTATTCCTCTCCATACTACACTGTATCAGACTTGATAATCAAATGAAGCTAAACAATATCGTTGTTTGAGACAAAAAAACTATTGCTTGCCGTGATCATTCAAAAACAAGTTATCCATCCCGAGAATAACGAATGAAATACAGATCACGCAAGTATTTGAATCTTGAAGGCTTCCCTGATCAAAACAAAAATACTTGACTGAGATGTTTATAATTTCAATACAAAACTATAATAAGGTGTATTTATATCTTCAGCATGGGTATGAAATGCCAAATTTGCTGAAATCGGAAACAAATTAGGTATGTGTCTCAACCCAAATAACCAACCGTCACAATGTTGTTCATTATTGATGACGTCCAGTAGATCCTTTTTAGTTCCTAGGAGCTAAAGTTCAACTTTAGCTCCTAGGAACTTAAATTCAACTTTAGCTCCTAGGAACTAAATATGTTGCCTAGCAACATGCCTATTTTTGTGTCAGTAATAGAAACGTCAATTTAAGAGCTAATTTTGGTATCAAAATGGACGACTTTTGTGTCGGTTGCAGAAAAACAACATTGTTACGGTTGGTTATTCAGGTTGGGACGCATACCTGATTTGTTATCGATTTCGACAGATTCGGCATTTCATACCCATGCTGGAGATATAAATACACCTTATAATAGTTGAGTATGAAAATCAAACACATCTCAGTTATGCTATTTATTCATTATTACTATGGCGAGCACGAAAACAATATATTTTACATGGTCAAACCTTCCATTCATTTCAAAAAGATAAGTTTTTTGAGTTCTAGAGCTGCATCTCTGATAATTTCAGAAATGTAGACTAACTAACCCAGAAGTTTCGAATTCTCCTGAGATAAATCATCTTCTGTAGCTCTGCATCTCATCTCGAATTTAATTTCATCCAACAGACACGAGCTCTGCTTTGTGAATGAGCCTAGGAATGGGATATAATACACCAACCCCTATAAATGTTCAGAGGGAGCGAAACAGATTCATTCAGATTCACTTCTGGAGATCTCGAGCATTTCAAATTAACTACTTCAAGGGACATTTCATCAAGAAACTTTTCATAATTAACGATTGGATGAATGGTCATTGCCCTGTTAACTTTTGAATTGAAATCATCATTGTGAACATTCAAAGTATACACGGAGACAAGAATCACATATACCGGGTGGCTACGGAAGTATTGCCTACGGAATATCTCAGTTATTGTATGAAGTAGGTTTGTGAAATTTGGAGCGTCGATATAATGACATAAGAGCTAGAATTTGAGCATATTGACATGCCGAAGTTAACTTCCGGTCTGACCGGAAGTAACATCAACTTTCTAATTTTAAATAGAAACCCTATTTTTTTTCTTTTCGCTCTATTCAGCATTCAATTCCCTTTCTAATAACATATCACAAGTTGGTATCTAACCAGAAACTCAGGAAAAAATTATTATTGAGATTCACCGAGTAGGCCGTGGAAGCAAAATGAAAGCCAAAATTTGAAAAGTTGGCTATGGAAACCATACGTCACTTGATAACAGTTGCTACTACTGTGATATTTTATTTTCATTCGTCGGCGTTATAAAAAGCCGTCAAAAAAATATTGGAAAAATTGGGAAAAAAACAATACTCTGTAGGTCCATAACTTGAATAGGAACATACAACTTTTTCACAGTAGTAGCAACTGTTATCAAGTGACGTATGGTTTCCATAGCCAACTTTTCAATTTTTGGCTTTCATTTTGCTTCCACGGCCTACTCGGTGTATTTCAATAATATTTTTTTTCTGATCTAGTTTCTTGTTAGATACCAACTTGTGATATGTCATTAGAAGAGGAATTGAATGCTGAATAAAGCGAAAAGAAAAAAAAAATAGGGTTTCCATTTAAATTAAGGAAGTTGATGTTACTTCCGGTCAGACCGGAAGTTAACTTCGACATGTCAATATGCTTGAATTCTAGCTCTTATGTCATTACATCGACGCTCCAAATTTCACAAATCTACTTCATACAATAACTGAGATATTCCGTAGGCAATACTTCCGTAGCCACCCGGTATATTTGATTCTTGTTTCTATTGTTCTCTAGAAAATCATGACCTTGGTAAGAAGACAAAACCTCGTGCATTTAAAACATTCGTTGTATAGCTATGTTATGGTCAATTATCCAGAAATCACAAAAAAGTAATGCTACTACTACTAGTAGTACTACTAACCTAGCACTACTTTAGTGTTCACTTATGATCGCACTTACAGCAGAAACATTGTTTCAGAAATATTGTTTTGACTACTTCAAGAACCTTATTTTTCTACCGTTGATGAAAAAGTGCTTGTCACAATCGACTTTATGTAAAGAAAACGATTCACTTGGCTGAGTTTTCTCAGTGTTGTAACAACAAATCACTTGACATCGGGACTAGGATGAGAATGAAATACTTTTCTGAATTCATGAAAACATTGTGTATTCCCTTAGATAGAACATTATGAGTTGATTGAGTTATTTCGAGATATCATCGCTTCCATTCAGTGTTTGGAGTTGCTATGACTACCAACTTGCACTGTGGTGTAACTGTAAGATGGTGATCCTTTTCCTTCAGCTGCATACCCTCCAAATACTTCTCCAAATCCTTTTCCATAACCTCCAAAACCGCCTCCATAAACTCCGCCAAAGTCGCTACTCCTAAAGTTTCCACCAACATTCACTGGTTGTGGTACGGGCACCAGTATAGTTTGTGGAATACGTACTGGATATGGCTGAGGTACTGACACAGGGTATGGTTGTGGAACTGGTACCTTCAAAGCATAATAGATGAGAAAACAAGTACTATTCTCCAAATAAACTGGTGAACATTGATAACGTCGTGGTCCAAAATATAGTCTGAACTCAAAGTAGAATACCTCACGAATTTCCTTACCGATTTGAAATCAGTTTTCACCGATGATAAGCCTGATCCTTTGACAGTTTGCTGTGACAATATGAAACATCTATAATTCAGATAACATTGCTGCAGGGTGATAATTGAATAGGTGTAAAATTGCATCGTGGTTTTCACCTTACCCTTTGAACAGATAATTTTTTAATTCTTTTTCTCACCTGTATCCTCTTGATTGATGCTTTCTATCGAAATATTTTCGGAGTTTTCGAATTCAGAGTTTTGATAATCGTGTTATGAATATTCATTCAAAATGATGCATTTTTCTGACGATTGATTGAATGAAATTGGAAGTTGGAATTGTTTTTCAAAGAATCAACCTTGTATGTATAGTCGTCGGATATGTGATCGTGTTCGAACACAGAAAATTCTGTAGTAGTCTATACAAAGTGAAACAAGAGATACTGAATGGTGGAATGGATAATAAAGTGGTTTTCAGTAGATAAAACATAATTTTCTCTGTGTTACTAGTGAAATATTGAAGTGTTAGTTCATCATGAGGATGACTAGTGTCTGACCTCGAAATTATTTGGAATTTCTCGGATCGAAGGTCATATTATAATGAAGCTACGCATTTTTAATCAAAATGATACATTTTCGGTAAGATAAATCATGAAATTCAAAAAATTACGATTGTAGTTCCAGAAGTATGAAATTTATATTAATTCTTGACGATGGATACAAGGTGCGATAAAAAATATGCCCAGATTGTCCCGGGATAGAGAAGAATATGTTTAAATGTGATGAAAATCGCTATAATCCGAAAAAGAAATATAGTGTCGGTCATTGTCGGAAATTGTGAAATGTATAAATACATTTCATGAGGTTTATACGAGGAAATATGTAAGAGACTGCAGAATTGCCATAGATTCGATAGAATGTTTTTCATACTAATGAAGATGAATACAGTAAACCTCATGAGGCTTATACGAGGTAATGTGAAAGAGATCAATGTCGACCAGTTCAGTACTTACTTGCACTGGTACTTGTACGGGTACCCTGTAAGGCTGTGGCACTGGTACTGGCACAGTCCTGGTCACTTGGACTGGTACTGGCCTGGACACTACCACTGGATAAGGCTGAGGTACTGGTACTTGTACTGGTCTGTTCACGATAACCGGATAGGGCTGTGGTATAGGTACTGGTACGTTTTGAGTCACCGTTTGAAAATGGTTACCACCTGAACAAAAGAATGCTGGTTACTGGCCAATCAAGAGGTGAGATAAGATCTAGAACACTTTGAAGGACTCGAAAAATGATTTTGGTTCGTGTATTTTGACTGACCTGTGAGTCCTCCAGGAAGAACTGAAGATAATCCACTACCAAAACCTCCTTTGACAGCTACCCCTTTGAGATGGTCATCAACGATGGTGTTGGAAGTTAGGCCATGATTATTGTTGATGTCTATTTCTCCAATATTGTGTCCTGAATGTATTTCAGATACGACAGAATGAATTGCGAGGAACACGAGGAGACAAGTGACCTGAAAGGAAAAATGTGCACACATAAAAAAGACAGGAATTGAATGAGAGAGGATAGAGTTGAATTGGTTTGTCGTTCACAGTGAAATTATATCACTTCAGTGGTACATGGTACATCACAAATTGGATTATTTTTGTCTCACTGTCTGTACATGATATTTTGGTTTAATCTTGACTTACCAGGTAGGTATTCATTTCACACAAAGTATGAATGCAGAATAGACTTCTTCACCATTTCTCGATGTTTTATGTTGTGAATTTTTCCCCACTTGTAAGTTCGATTTTCATTTCCTCAACTTTCATATCTTCAGCTTTCTGAGTTTTTGCCGATTGCATGTTATCGATTTGCTAACATTGGCGTAGTTAAGAATGTTCTTCCAGTTGAATATCAAATATTTGAATATCTTCATTGGCACTTTTGAATGGTATAAAAGTTACGAATCTACTGTAACTCATTGGAGATTTTCATATCCTGAGAGCTAATCTTCCATCATAAGCCAAGACATTATATTTCCAGTAATAAACGAAATTTAATGGTAATACGCCTCTGGTGTCGATCAGGAAGATGCGAAGTTTGATAAAAGAGCAAAAAATAAACGGATTCACATTGCATTTTATGGTCTGCAGAAGATTGACTTCTATTGAGAAACTTGATTGCAGATAGGGAACTCATCGAGCGGACCGATATCTATCGTTCATATCGTAATATTCACAGGATAATATAATTTGATAAACCTAGTTTTCCAACTAGGTTATTGCATCACCAGCATATAATCACTGGAAAATAAGTATAAGGAATATCTTTATGGTCAGTTGAAAATAATCAAAACTATTGGTGGTTTCTGATACATCTTTCAAATTGATGAATAGAATGTGGGTTATGACAATTGAGAGATATTGCATAAAAGCATAGTAGAAGCATAAGAGTGTGTGAGAGTTGATTTATGTCTGTATAATATACAGGGTGGGACGATATCCCGATTGCTTTACTCATACAATTCCGCAATTCTAAAACTCCATTTACTGTTATTCAGGAAAATTTGACAAATATTCAGGAGGAAACACCATGCATTCATGACCATACTCGAGGAAAACGAAATCATTATAAAAAAATATTTGCTTGAACGGGAACATAACGACAACGCTGCAATTTCACACTACTGCAATCACCATCCTGATATTTCTCTGACAAGTAACTGAACGATTGGTCTAGTCAACTGTAAATACCGAATAGGAATCAGTTATATATAGGATCTAGAGTACTGAATCCGATTTTGGATTCGTCCAATAATTGGGACCACGACGTTTATTTGGTTGATCAGTTTATATGAGCATAAGTATATTCAGTAACTCAATATTATAGATTATGTCTCAATCATTTGTGAGTTGAGATAGTTCCGTGTCGAAACTCAGATGGAACTAATGTCTCAAAGACATCTCGGCAACCAATATCACCAGGAATCTACGAGCTACATCACTACTTCTCTGATCTCATAACCTCACTTCTGAATACGTATCGATACATCATTGATGAACATTCTGCTCAATACATTGTCCAACATCATTGCAACCATATTGTACGATTTTACAGAAACTTCTTATTTCATTTCATTCCAGAAAACTGGCAGACATCTCTAGATCCACCAGAGGCGTTATAGTCCTCATGAGCGATCGTTCCAGCTCAGTAAGAATCCTCGAGGAAGCCAAACGCCTCAACATGATGGATGGCCATTTTGTCTGGCTCTGGATAGACACAGCAGCAATCATACGCATCAAGAACGCCACGGAAGAAGAAAAAGACCCCAAGCCTGAGGACCGTCTCAAGCGCAGCCTGATCAAACCTGAGGACACCAATGACCTCCACCTGCATTACTTGCTCAAGAACGACCAGTTCCTCATGTTCAACCGCCCTGATAGCCCCAAACCGAGCCAACCTTCGAGAGACCGTCCCTACAAGTCTCAGGGCGGGTCAAATCTCTTCCCTGAGCTGCCTGCAGGGCTACTGAGCATGCGCCCATTGCCAGTTCGCGTTGACAGGCACTTGGTGAAGGGCGCAGTGCGGTTGTTGGTGGCTGCCCTGAGACACGTGTTGCTCAGGGCGCCTGAGTGGGTGCTCAGGGATGTGGTCGATGGGCGGTATAAGGGTTGTTGGGTGAATAAGGCGAGGGAGAACAGTTTCGTCAATGAGTTTGCGAGGTGAGTCTGAGATCAGGGCTTCAGGAAAGGTTTATATGTTTCAGGGAATTTGTACCAGTACTATACAGTGCTTTCGTATGGTACTGGATACATTCGTTTTCAGCAAAACTATCCATTCTTGAGGAATCTCTTGTAACAGGTCGATTTCAATTTTAAATTGACCACATGTATTCGAAAAAATGAATATACAGGGTGATCCACGTTCGACTTACCTATAACGTACGCGACAATTATTTGAAATGGAACACCCTTCATATTATACAATTTTTAGGAACTCCATATAAAGCTGATTTCAAAAATTTACTACACAGTGCGTCTGGTGAATTAGGAAGTGCTTTCTTATAGTGGAAAAATTCATTCATTTCTGAGGAGAAAATTGTTACATTTGTATTTTCAATCCGCAACATTTATAAAAAAATTCAATAAACATGGTGATTCACGGTTGAATTGTGACGTCTGGGTGATTCAAGTTTTGAGGTACTAACTGGAATGAGTGAAAGATCTTATCATCTCAGTTAAAAGGGTTCATATTAACATTAGTCCGATCTCTATCAGTAGCGGATCTACAGGGTGTTAAGGGTCAAAGTTTAATTATTTTTTTCTATTCATCAAAATATCTCGCTCACATTTGAAGATATCGATTTGAAATTTGGTGCGGTTGATCCTTTCTAGAAATTCATGATTTAAAGCATTTAAAATTCCTGAAAATTGCAAAAATCGCGAAAATTGCAAAAATTCCTGAAAATTGCAAAAATTGCAAAAATTCCTGAAAATTGCAAAAATTGCAAAAATTCCTGAAAATTGCTGAAATAGCAAAAATTGCAAAAATTCCTGAAAATTGCAAAAATTGCGAAAATTGCAAAAATTCCTGAAAATTGCAAAAATTGCAAAAATTCCTGAAAATTGCAGAAATAGGAAAAATTCTTGAAAATTCATGAAGATTGCAAAAATCGCAAAAATGCCTGAGAATTGAAAAAATAGCAAAAATTCCTGAAAATTGCAAAAATTGCAAAAATTCCTGAAAATTGCAAAAATTGCGAAAATTCCTGAGAATTGCAGAAATAGGAAAAATTCTTGAAAATTCCTGAAAATTGGTGACATAGCAAAAATTCTTGAAAATTCCTGAAAATTGCAAAAATCGCAAAAATGCCTGAAAATTTAAAAAATCGCAAATATTGCAAAAATTTCAAAAATCGCAAAAATTCCTGGAAATTGCGATAATCGCAAATATGCCTGAAAATTGCAAAAATTCCTGAAAATTGCAATAATAGCAAAAATTGCAAAAATTCCTGAAAATTGCAAAAATTGCAGAAATTCTAGGAAATTCCTAAAAATTGCAAAAATGCCTGAAAATTGCAAAAATTGCAAAAATTCCTGAGAATTGCAAAAATACTAAAAAATTCCTGAAAATTGCAAAAATCGCACAAATGCCTGAAAATTGCAAAAATTGCAAAAATTCCTGAAAATTGCAAAAATCGCAAAAATGCCTGAAAATTGCAAAAATTGCAAAAATTCCTGAAAATTGCAAAAATCGCAAAAATTCCTGAAAATTGCAAAAATCGCAAAAATGTCTGAAAATTGCAAAAATCGCCAAAATTCCTGAAAATTGCAGAAATAGAATTGCATAAATCGCAAAAATTGCAAAAATTACTGAAAATTGCAGAAATTGCAAGAATTCCTGAAAATTGCAAAAATCGCAAAAATTGCAGAAATCGCAAGAATAGCAAAATTTGCAAAAATTCCTGAAAATTACAAAAATCGCAGAAATGCCTGAAAATTGCAAAAATCGCAAAAATTCCTGAAAATTGCAAAAATCGCAAAAATTGCAAAAATTCCTGAAAATTACAAAAATTGCAAAAATTCCTGAAAATTGCAGAAATAGCAAAAATTGCAAAAATTCCTGAAAATTGCAGAAATTGCAAAAATTGCAAAAATTCCTGAAAATTGCAAAAATTGCAAAAATTCCTGAAAATTGCAAAAATTACTGAAAATTGCAGAAATTGCAAAAATTCCTGAAAATTGCAAAAATCGCAAAATTGCAGAAATAGCAAAAATTGCAAAAATTGCAAAAATTCCCGAAAATTGCAAAAATCGCAGAAATGCCTGGAAATTGCAAAAATCGCAAAAATGGCAAAAATGCCTGAAAATTGAAAAAATTGCAAAAATTCCTGAAAATGGCAAAAATTCCTGAAAATTGCAAAAATCGCAAGAATTCCTGAAAATTGCATAAATTCCTGAAAATTGCAAAAATCGCAAAAATGCCTGAAAGCTGCAAAAATTGCAAAAATTGCAAAAATTGCGAAAATTGCAAAAATTGCAAAAATTGCAAAAATTGCAAAAATTCCTGAAAATTCCTGAAAATTGCGAAAATCGCAGAAATGCCTGAAAATTGCAAAATTCCTGAAAATGGCAAAAATTCCTGAAAATTGCAAAAATCGCAAGAATTCCTGAAAATTGCATAAATTCCTGAAAATTGCAAAAGTCGCAAAAATGCCTGAAAATTGCAAAAATTGCAAAAATTGCAAAAATTGCAAAAATTGCAAAAATTGCAAAAATTCCTGAAAATTCCTGAAAATTGCGAAAATCGCAAAAATTCCTGAAAATTGCAAAATTCCTGAAAATTCCTGAAAATTGCAAAAATCGCAAGAATTCCTGAAGATTGCATAAATTCCTGAAAATTGCAAAAATCGCAAAAATGCCTGAAAATTGCAAAAATTGCAAAAATTCCTGAAAATTCCTGAAAATTGCAAAAATTGCAAAAATTCCTGAAAATTGCAAAAATCGCAAAAATGCCTGAAAATTGCAAAAATCGCAAAAATTCCTGAAAATTGCAAAAATCGCAAAATGCCTGAAAATTGAAAAAATTGCAAAAATTCCTGAAAATTGCAAAAATTCCTGAAAATTGCAAAAATCGCAAGAATGCCTGAAAATTGCAAAAATTCCTGAAAATTGCAAAAATCGCAAAAATGCCTGAAAATTGCAAAAATTGCAAAAATTGCAAAAATTGCAAAAATTGCAAAAATTGCAAAAATCGCAAAAATTGCAAAAATTGCAAAAATTGCAAAAATTGCAAAAATTGCAAAAATTGCAAAAATTGCAAAAATTGCAAAAATTGCAAAAATTGCAAAAATTGCAAAAATTGCAAAAATTCCTGAAAATTCCTGGAAATTGCGAAAAATGCAAAAATTCCTGAAATTGGCAAAAATTGCAAAAATTACTGAAAATTGCAAAAATCGCAAAAATTGCAAAAATTCCTGAAAATTGCAAAAATTCCTGAAAATTGCAAAATCGCTAAAATTGCAAAAATAGCAAGAATTGCAAAAATTGCAAAATTCCTGAATATTGTAAAAATCGCACAAATGCCTGAAAATCGCAAAAATTGCAAAAATTCCTGGAAATTGCAAAAATTGCCAAAATTCCTGAAAAATGGAAAAATCGCAAAAATGCCTGAAAATTGTAAAAATTCATGAAAATTGCAAAAATCGCAAAAATTCCTGAAAATTGCAAAAATCGCAAAAACTGCAAAAATGCCTAAAAATGGAAAAATCGCCATAATTCCTGAAAATTGCAGAAATAGCAAAAATTGCAAAAATTCTTGAAAATTCCTGAAAATTGCAAAAATGCCTGAAAATTGCGAAAATTGCAAAAATTCCTGAGAATTGCAGAAATCGCGAAAATTGCTTAAACTGCAAAAATTGCAAAAATTCCTGAAAATTGCAAAAATCGCAATAATTCCTGAAAATTGCAGAAATCGCAAAAATTGCAAAAATTCCTGGAAATTGCGGAAATTGCAAAAATTCCTGAAAATTGCAAAAATCGCAAAAATTGCAGGATTCGCAAAAATTGCAAAAATTCCTGAAAATAACAAAAATCGCAGAAATTCCTGAAAATTGCAAAAATCGCAAAAATTCCTGAAAATTGCAAAAGTTCCTGAAAATAACAAAATTCGCAGAAATTACTGAAAATTGCAAAAATTGCAAAAATTCCTGAAAATTGCAGAAATAGCAAAAATTGCAGAAATTCCTGAAAATTGCAAAAATTGCAAAAAATTGCAAAAATTGCAAAAATACTTGAAAAATGCAAAAATCGCAAAAATGCCTGAAAATTGCAAAAATCTCAAAAATTCCTGAAAATTGCAAAAATACTAAAAAATTCCTGAAAATTGCAAAAATCGCACAAATGCCTGAAAATTGCAAAAATTGCAAAAATTCCTGAAAATTGCAAAAATCGCAAAAATGCCTGAAAATTGCAAAAATTCCTGAAAATTGCAAAAATCGCAAAAATTCCTGAAAATTGCAAAAATCGCAAAAATTTCTGAAAATTGCAATAATCGCAAAAATTGCAAAAATCGCAAAAATGTCTGAAAATTGCAAAAATCGCCAAAATTCCTGAAAATTGCAGAAATAGCAAAAATTGCAAAAATTCTTGAAAATTGCAAAAATTGCAAAATTTCCTGAAAATTGCAAAAATCGCAAAAATTGCAAAAATTGCGAAAATTCCTGAAAATTGCAAAAATCGCATAAATTCCTGAAAATTGCATGAATCGCAAAAATTGCAAAAATTACTAAAGATTGCAGAAATTGCAAGAATTCCTGAAAATTGCAAAAATCGCAAAAATTGCAGAAATCGCAAGAATTGCAAAAATTGCAAAAATTGCAAAAATTCCTGAAAATTGCAAAAATCGCAGAAATGCCTGAAAATTGCAAAAATCGCAAAAATTCCTGAAAATTGCAAAAATCGCAAAAATTGCAAAAATTCCTGAAAATTACAAAAATTGCAAAAATTTCTGAAAATTGCAGAAATAGCAAAAATTGCAAAAATTCCTGAAAATTGCAGAAATTGCAGAAATTGCTAAAATTGCAATAATTGCAAAAATTTTTGAAAATTGCAAAAATTGCAAAAATTACTGAAAATTGCAAAAATTACTGAAAATTGCAGAAATTGCAAGAATTCCTGAAAATTGCAAAAATCGCAAAAATTGCAGAAATCGCAAAAATTGCAAAAATTGCAAAAATTCCTGAAAATTGCAAAAATCGCAGAAATGCCTGAAAATTGCAAAAATCGCAAAAATTCCTGAAAATTGCAAAAATCGCAAAAATTGCAAAAATTCCTGAAAATTGCAAAAATTGCAAAAATTCCTGAAAATTGCAGAAATAGCAAAAATTGCAAAAATTCCTGGAAATTGCAAAATTGCAAAAATTCCTGAAAATTGCAAGAATTCCTGAAAATTGCGAAAATTGCAAGAATTCCTGAAAATTGCAGAAATAGCAAGAATTGCAAAAATTCCTGAAAATTGCAAAAATTGCAAAAATTCCTGAAAATTGCAAAAATTGCAAAAATTCCTGAAAATTGCAGAAATAGGAAAAATTCTTGAAAATTCCTGAAAATTGCAGAAATAGCAAAAATTCTTGAAAATTCCAGAAAATTGCAAAAATCGCAAAAATGCATGAAAATTGCAAAAATTGCAAAAATTGCAAAAATTGCAAAGATCGCTAAAATTCCTAAAAATTGCAGGAATAGCAAAAATTGCAAAAATTCTTGAAAATTCCTGAAAATTGCGAAAATCGCAAAAATGCCTGAAAATTGCAAAAATTGCAAAAATTGCAATAATAAGAAGGGCTCAGTTTTCGCAAATTGATTCACTTGTTCAGAAAATATGTAGCTTAGGAATTCCAACAATTGAAGTAACCCTGTTTCAGGAAACATTTTGTTCTGATGGAACACCTATTTTTATCCAGTATCCAGGGATAAGCGAGGAAACGAGCTTGTCAAACGAGGCAATGATCCTGATATAGTGCGGCATTATATCATTCCAGTTCAAACGATGCAATAAGTAGAATACGATTTGTGGAAACTCAGATAAATAATACACTGTGATAAATCCTATTTGAAACTAACCGATGAAGATATATTTTATGGTATCGGAAAAAAAATATCGTTCGCCTCAATTCGTGAACGAAATCAGGAAAGATCCACCTTTTTCTAGTATGCCTTGTTATACAGGGTCATATGAAATTCGTAATTTCACACCACCAGAACAAAAATGATACGTCATGGTTTCATTATAGAACGCCCTGTATATTATCGAATTACCTGATTACCTTTCGTGATAGATATTGACGAAGAGTATTCATAGCCCACGATCAGTCGTTCGTCGGTGAGGTGTAAGTTATCGTCCTCGCAGGGACAACATATTGCACGTACCGACTGGGACGTCCGTAGGACGTTATTTCTAGAACATTGGAAGGATAAATGATAATCCTCTTGTGTAGAGGACATTTATATAGAATGTCTATCTGAATTCCTGATGCCACTGTTTACCTCCGATGGAAATCCCTCAGGACCTATTCCGAATATATGGGTTATTGTAAAAAACGAGAACAAAAATAAAACTTCAACATCCTGTTTCTTGGAAACGCAGCGTTTCCGGAAAAATACTCAATTGCACAATTCATATAAGAATAATGTAAAAAATCACCTCCGGAATTTAGTCAAAGTACTTTTGGATCATCTTGTATATGTCAAAGGTACGTGGGACACCCTGTGTCAAGTGCCAACCCTAACAACACGAGTACATTCAATGGACATCCCAGGGACGCCCCTCATTCACTAGAAGGATGTCGATGAGACATTCCCTGTCGGGACATGGGACATACTAGGGACGGTCTATAGACATCCCTTGGCTTCGTAAGAGAACCAAACCGGGACGTCTTTTCAGTACGTCCTAGGGATATATACCAGGTACATCCCAAAAATATATTCAATGTGTATACCATCACCACAATAGTGAATCCCAGAGACATCCCTTGCAATCCGTGAGACAGTAATAAAGAAAATCTCAAGATACATATAGAGGCGTATAAACGTCGTTGGCCAACAGCTATCCATATTAGTATTCAAATCGTGTAGCGAGCGTCGGCGAGATGTAAGGGAAATAAAAGTAGTTTGATTGCAATGGAACAAAAGTTGACGAATGAAGCTTCAAGTTCTAGACAAACGTGGAGATAACCTCAAATGTTGTAGAATAGATGATGCAATGGTAATAAAACCACTGATTATCCTATTTGGTTTGATGAAATATTGTAGGACTCTGTAAGAGATAACGAATAAGATTTTTTTTCCCTGGTAATACTAAGCAGGACATCCCAGAGATGTCCCAATCATATCCTTGTACAGACAGTACACTGTGGGACAAGAAAGAGACGTACCTAGGATATCCCTATGTTGTTAGGAATATTTCTTTAGAATATTCTCGCGCCTTCCGGAAATTTTCTCGAGAGAGTTTGGCATTTCATTTAAGTGAAAATACCTATAATCACGTAATTTCCTCTATCGCTCCTTCCACATCTTGGGGCTTGAAATAATAGAATCGGCAGACGGATCTCAATCGATCATTGCTACTTATAGACTAGACAAATTTTTGGGATATTGAACTTTAAGAAGCATTTCGTATTACTTTTTGGTAAAGGGTGATTTTCTACCATTTCGACCCTGTTGAATTCGAAAATGCCGGTTGCCAAAGTGAAATCGCAACCGGAAGTGAGATATTCAAGATGGCGTCCGAAATGGCATCAAAACAGAATTTTGCTGCTAAATCTCCCTTGTTTGAGGTAGGAACGCGACCAAAGGGTCTCTTTATATGTTTTCAGACATGAAGAAAACAAAAACACACAAACTAAACTCGTTCGTTGAATATGATTTCTAAAAAATATGACAAAAGCGGTCAAAGTTGCCCTTTTTGGTTTTTAGCAAACAATATACTTTGACTAATGTATTATATCGTTCTATGCACATTTGAGACATTTAATGTAACACTTAAAACAGAACGTATTTCTTTGGAAAGAAGTGAAATTATTGTGTGTCTCCAGAGTTCAGGCAAGAACGTTTACAGGGAGTGCACAGTTTGATGCAAGAGACATTGGCTTTCCTACAACTGCAATTTTTTGTATTACAATGTCCTTTGCAATGACAGACAACTATTTCTGGGCACGTCTCAGGAATGGGATCTAGTGTTATTAAACGAGGAACAACTTGTTCTCTCTGCACAATCCAGCCACAGTCCTGCAGCCTAGGTAGTGACGGTTTGGGGATATGCGCATTCTCCCAAACACACACCTGAGATAAAAAAATATATATATTATATTCATTTCGTTTTCATTTCTGTCAATTTGCGTTTTAGGTACGCTTACCTGGTAGTTGCATCTCCTAATATGGAGACGAAGTGCATCAGTTGTCGGTGGGAGAAATTCTGGCTTTCTTACATCTCCAAATAAATAACTTCGGGCATCGTTTGAGCATGTGATGCTGGAATCAACCTGTATGAAATCAGAATTTCTGTGTGTACTTCATTTTAATTCAATATCATCTGGAAGATATTTAAGTGTAAGCATTTTTACCTTATACAGTTTGACGACAAATTTCTCGACATTGCTAAGGACGTCCTCCTCAAGTGGCGACTGTCCGAGGCGTCCCAGAAGCTCGCAGTTTGTCCCAGAAAAAGCCTTCCATGCTCCAACTTTCGTGATAGACACCAACTTAGACGTCGAATCGCAGCCGGTTATTGCATGGAAAGCAAGAAGATGGGAGACTTGTTCCGGCATAAGCTTTCTGCATATATCATGTACAGGAATGTACTTGGTGTCACGTGCAGTGCCACTCATTACCCACAAATGGGTGCATTTCATTTTAGCGAAGTGGTAGATAAGAAGAAGAACAACGTCGGTGTCCCTCGTCATCACAACAACGTTATGAGCTGTGGTGTGAACGGCATGAAGAACCATGCGCGTGTCAGCTTCCTCGTGTGATGATTTCAGGCAATCAACATTCCGACGCAAATTCGTGGACTGAGCATGTTTTTCCTCAGTGAAGCCGCCGGAGATAACTACTTCAAGATCGCCAAAGTTATGTTGCATAATTCTCTCGGACAAAAACCTGCATAAATCAGTTTTGTTTCCTGATAAAAACAAGAAGTTACTCCAGTTCTTTGGCAGTGGCACGTTGCAGTCCTCAATGTCTCTGCGCACGAAAGTTAGAGCATGGAAGGCTGTTTCTGGGACAAACTGCGAGCTTCTGGGACGCCTCGGACAGTCGCCACTTGAGGAGGACGTCCTTAGCAATGTCGAGAAATTTGTCGTCAAACTGTATAAGGTAAAAATGCTTACACTTAAATATCTTCCAGATGATATTGAATTAAAATGAAGTACACACAGAAATTCTGATTTCATACAGGTGATACACTTCGTCTCCATATTAAGAGATGCAACTACCAGGTAAGCGTACCTAAAACGCAAATTGACAGAAATGAAAACGAAATGAATATAATATATATATTTTTTTTATCTCAGGTGTGTGTTTGGGAGAATGCGCGCATATCCCCAAACCGTCACTACCTAGGCTGCAGGACTGTGGCTGGATTGTGCAGAGAGAACAAGTTGTTCCTCGTTTAATAACACTGGAGCCCATTCCTAAGACGTGCCCAGAAATAGTTGTCTGTCATTGCAAAGGACATTGTAATACAAAAAATTGCAGTTGTAGAAAAGCCAATGTGTCTTGCATCAAACTGTGCACTCCCTGTAAACGTTCTTGCCTGAACTCTGGAGACACACAATAATTTCACTTCTTTCTAAAGAAATACGTTTTGTTTTAAGTGTTACATTAAATGTCTCAAATGTGCATAGAACGATATAATACATTAGTCAAAGTATATCGTTTGCTAAAAACCAAAAAGGGCAACTTTGACCGCTTTTGTCATATTTTTTAGAAATTATATTCAACGAACTAGTTTAGTTTGTGTGTTTTTGTTTTCTTCATGTCTGAAAACATATAAAGAGACCCTTTGGTCGCGTTCCTACCTCAAACAAGGGAGATTTAGCAGCAAAATTCTGTTTTGATGCCATTTCGGACGCCATCTTGAATATCTCACTTCCGGTTGCGATTTCGCTTTGGCAACCGGTATTTTCGTAATCAGCAGGGTCGAAATAGTAGGAAAACACCCTTTGCCAAAAAGTAATACGAAATGCTTCTAAAATTTTAATGGAGGCCTTTTTTGGATTTTTTGACTAGACTATTAGCGAGTAGTTAAATGAAACGGGCAAACTCCATTTGATTAATCTGACAAATATAGAGACTCTGGATTAAACTTCAACTCTGATTTCAGAGAATATAAATCTCAGCAGTTTCTCTTTCAGTAATAGTTATTGAATGACGGGAGAAAAACAAATACTTTCCTTTCCGAAATCTATGCATCGATACGTATAAACGAATACCTAAATAATGCCGATTGATTTCGATTTGGACAAGTCAACGCTACGACACCCACATTTATTTTATGTCCTGGTTCCCACGAAAAGGGTTATCCTGTAATTTTCAGAGAACATCGTGAGAACCAAGGGAAATAAAGTAGGAATTGGTCCTCTACTTGAATTTATGGAGGTTATATGCCTCGGGAAACACCTCCCTTGGCAATGTGTTCGAGAGCCTCGCTGTTCGTTAGATGAACGAGTCTTTGGAAAGATATGTTCTGCAAGTCTCCAAAGTGACCACGAAGGGGTGCGAAGCCTCAACTCGACGGGTTAACCTCGCGGGGACTGCCAAGGGAGGAATAATTGTTGATATTTCATCGTCTATGAAAATATCTATAAAATAGAGCCAGATCGCCAACTTTTCCACGGTGTTCCAGAGAAGTGAGTGGGTTTTTGAGCGAGGCATCACCCACGAGACGAATTGCCCATTTTGGACAGAATCCAACAGTTTCAGGGTATGGTTGGGTGCTGATGCACTCCAAATAAGGAAACAGTACTCCAGGACTGGTCGGATCTGTGCCTTACAGTTCATGAGCAGCTGACTGGAAGTGAAATAGCTCCTGGCCTGAAACAGAAAACCAAGTTTTTGGGATGCACTTTTAGCAATTGATCTCACGTGATTACCCTAAGGAAGGTTATTGCTGATAGTGATACCAAGCATCAAAATGGATGTCTTCAAAGGTATAGTTACCCCTGACAAGCTTTCGTTGGGCACAGTGAGATCGGCTTTTCTAGAGAACAGGCATGCTTGTGTTTTGTTTGCATTGAAATCTACCAAGTTATTGGATCCTCATTCGAGAATTGTTGCCAAGTCCATATTCATTCATACATACTGGTTTCGAGCTTTTTTGGATCTTCAGTGCAGGGTAGTCTCTAGCCAACAGTCGCCGGCTAAGCGTATCCTGGCCCAACAAATTCAAATCAGTCATTCATTTTCGATGTTGTCAATCAGATGCTGTGAATATTGTGAAAAATCAATTCCTGGAGATAATCTATCAATGTTGCACATCTGTTCAACATTAATTTGATAATAGATATTTTGTGAATATTCAAAGTGTTGAGTGAGTAATAATGCAGATAGTGTTGTGACCTGATGAAAAAGACCAGCATATTTCATTGGATCAGTATATTTCCTAGAGCTGATCCTGAAAGAAACATCGGTTCCAGAACCATCCATTAACTCTGTTGGAAGCAAATCGCGTCCATGAGGAAGGGAATGGAAAGTCATTAATCGTGATAGTTTATCCCTGATCTTGCGAATTCTGTTTCCCTAAAGACCGACTACGAATATATCTGGTCAACCTACTCTTATCCGTAGTATCACAACTGACATTATATTTACCACTTTATATATTATATAAACAGTTATGAGTTATGAGTCAATTCTAAGCTTTCAAATTGTCATCATATGGCGAACCGAGTATTGTATCAGAGAAAATTATATGAATCCTTATGTTGATGAAAAAGATCCATAGTGTGTCAAATAATTGGCCGATTCTAGCCGTTTGTTTTCAAGTTTTCAGTGGTTGAGTAAAAATTTAAATTCTGGTATTTTCAATATTCGTCTATTCCCATGAATATTACCTAGTTATGAAGGAATAGAATACCCTGTATGTGATATTGTTATCTATTCGAATGAAGGGATTCATGAGGTAGAAATCAGACGTGGAGCGTTTATTTCTACTGAAGATTCAGCACGACTCAGAGCACATAATTCAAATCGATGCAAAATATTCTAAACAGCCAGAATCAATTGTAGCTCGAAAAGTGATCATAAGATCAATATGTAATTGGACCATGTAATATAGATGCTAATATCTGAAACATAATATAGAATTTTCAGAAAAATCAGCCGAAAGCCATTTTCCGTAGAAAATGTGTGGGGTCCTTTGTACGCAGCATTCTATTAATAATCGTGGATACAGGAATTTGGTCTATCGGAAATCTGGGTGAATTGAGTTGATAAAGTACAATATCTGATGGAGGGCCTGCTAAAAGATATAGGTGAACGTGAAATAGATGTCCTCGACTTCAACACAATCGAGATAGTATAATCACAATGAAATTTTCTTTTTTTTTTTCTTATTGATTGGTCTAGTAGAAAAGACAGAAAATGTGAGTGAAACATGATCATGCATCTCCAAGCAATATAAACCGGTTATATGTGGATCATAGTTTACTACAGAAACACATTGCCTGTCTTATTGTTCCGGTCTTACGAGGAAAGAAACGATCGACTCCATAAATGTTGAATCTCTGGGGAAATTCCAGATAGGTATTTTCCTTGCAGCAGTGCTATGCAAGGATTTTTCATTTTTCTTTCATTCTGTCGCTCCACTGATATACTATTACGAGTTTCTCGCCATAAGGAGAGAAAATAAGTCGAACATTGAACGGATGCTAATATAAGTCCAACGAATAATGAAGCATGATTTTCAAAATCTCAAGATGGCTGAAGAATATATTTACACCAAGATATATTTGGTATGATGTGGAAAAAATAAAATCATTTCAAAATTATGAGTGAGATAAGGACACATATTCGATATCAGTATAGCATTTACATTTTTTTTCTTATGTTGTGGTTTAGTCGGGGCTTGTTTTGCGAAAAGCCAAATCCTAGAAGCATTTCATGTAACAATTGGATAAATGACGTTTACCCCCTATTTTGACCCCGCTGAATCCGGAAATACCGTTTATCAAGTCGAAATTCTAACCGGAAGTGAGATATTCAAGATGGCGTCCAAAATACCCCTAAAATCAAATTATTTTCTACTTTCGGTCAGCTATATGATTGAGGTGTCGATGTCTATGTTTTCGGAGGTGTAGAATACGATTAGGCACTCAAATATTGATTTGGAGCATTGAAAGTTCATCGAATGATCAAATTTTGACGAAATAGACCAAAATTCCAAAGAACTTGTGAGAACGTGTTTCATAATGTATATGCTTGCATACGCTTTCGAGGGTCTCAATAAGTTCATGAGCCAAAAAAGCATTTGAACATTGTCCAAGCCTTCATTTCTTATATTTTGAGAGAGCCCCTTGCAGCCACGAGTTCTAAATTCGGAAAATGAATTGGGAATAGGTGGCAAAGTCATCAGGATTGGAACATATCGTCCATCAACAATTTTCCAGCCGTAATTAATCGGGTCTTATAAATCAGGATACTGATCATGGGCCTTAATCCACACTAGTATCAGGAAAAAAAAAACAGAATA